GGGCGTTAGTTGAAAAATGTTTAAAGGCGGATAACTCAAGAACCGATTGATGGATCGTCGTGATTTTTGGCATGTAGGTAGCTGAAGTGATGCTTGACATAATGATATTACAATTATGCAAGTATTAATGTAATTTGCATAATTAATGAGGAAATTCTATAAATCAGCTGCATTCCATGATAGGACTAGTCAAGCTTGTGACATATGTAATTAAAAACGGCAGAAATTTAGGCAGATATCGATTATGCAAATGAATACTTAATTTGCATAATTAATGAGAAAACGTTATAATTACATAGTGGTAACTGCCTGGAATTTCATACTTGGGACATTTGAAAGTCATGTGAAGGTGAACATAATTAAACATAACTTATGCAAATAAGGACCTCATTTGCATAATTTATGAGGAAATGCTATAATGGCATTCTTTAATAAGATAAGACTGTCTTCTGGTGTAGAATATGATCAACAGATATGATTGATGCAATATAGGATCCTATTTTCACAAGCAGGGGGATTAATCTATAATTTCTTAATTATAAAGGCTAACATCATTTGGCGAAGGAATGAGATCGTGGAACTCTAGTTTCTTTGTGCGTTTTGGGGGTATGGGTTGAAGTGAAATCTGTCATCTCGGATTGTCACGTTTCGAATTCCTTTTAACAAACAATCGAGCCATGCTTGTCAGACTATGTGGAGACTCATGAAGTTTGGGAATCAATTGGAGTCTTGGTTGTAATATAACTGATTGGCTTGTCTCAATCTCTTCACAGATTTCACAAGTGTTTCCCGGAGGCAAGCTGACCCTTTTGGATGCAGCTCGAGAAAAGCGGTTGTCCGCTGAGGACATGGTCCGGTGCCTGAGGCAAGTGGCGGACGCCATGGCCTTTGTGCACGGACAGTCTCTCGTCAAGGGAGAAGGCATCATCCACTGTGATCTCCGGGCCATGTATGTCATCTGGGATGGACAACATGTAAGTACAACGTGCAGCTGTTTGTAACAGCAACTAAAATAATTTATGGTACAAACTCCCTTAAAGGTTGTATTTTTATGACCTCTGAGTTTCGGTTTTTCTGCAGGTAAAGGTGGGGCCGTGCTAGCCGCCTCCGTCTCCGCCTGTACGATACCAAGCTCTCGGAAAGTGTGGTGAACAAGCAGATGCCTCGAGATGCTCTGAGATGATATGTAACTGTTACGTTACGATTCTTAAATCGCAAGAGTCAAGAGTATTCAACCGCAACAGCAGCCTTCTTATCAACAAAATGACATAAATATTGAGGAAACAAATCATTAAAATCTATGCAACAGAAACATTTAGCCCCATTGTCTCAGTGACAGTATAGACCTAGTCTGTTATATGTTACTATATTGCTGTTGTCGTATAAATCTATCACACTCATATTTGGCTGTAAGGTTCTCTCAACTCATGCCATGATTGTATCGTAACCCATATATGGCAGTAACATTTAATCATACCCATACTTGGCAGTAACGTCTATAAACCCATATATGGTTGTTATGTAATGTCCGGCAGGTCACCTATGGAGGTGATTGAGAGCGGGATCTACTCGCAGGGCAGTGACGTCTTCACGTTCGGACAGCTGTGCTGGGAGGTGTTCCACGCCTACGACGCCGACAAAACCAGCTAGAACAGAATGCTGGCACCTTACCCGTACTTGCATGCGTATGAGGTATGTGTGTGTATTACAGATATAAAAGACAGATGTTAACAAGAGCTTTACAAATATTGTTTGGCTCCTCTCCCAATAGCTTCTTATTGTTTAAACAACAGGAAGCAAACAATAATCGTCTTAAGATGTCGTCCCATCGATTAGGTGTGGGACTTGGACCTACGCCAAGCAACTGCTGATTTATCTTTTCGTTTCATTTCAGCTATTTTGCATCTGTAACGCTTTCAATTATTAGTTTTATTGTGTTATAACTCAATTTTTTTTCTTTCTTTCTTTCTTTTGTTTGCAGGTCCTGCCGTACCTGCAGCGCAGACAGAGGCCCCTGCAGCCGTGCCACTGTCCGGACTGGCTGTACCGCCTCATGAAGCTGTGCTGGCTGGACGAGCGGAGCCGCCGCCCGGGCTTCGACAGGATAGCTGCCTGCTTCAACAGGTGAGTGCAGAGACTAAAACTATATAAGAAAGACAACAAAAATAGGGATGAAATTGCTTGCCAGAACGCTTTCGAAGCAGATAGTTTTATTGCAAATTCTTGTCCCATCTATTTCAGTCCATTCGACATCGGTGATAACGGTACCTACAAGCAACAGGCTCCTGGCGGGAACGAGGAGAGCCTGAATGCAGCCCTGAACCACCAAGACCGCCACTACTTCCGCCAGGGCTTACTTCAGGGCGATGCTGACTACACGCGGAAGCACGTCATTGGGCTTTGGAGCGCCGACAACGTGTCGCAAGGCAGCTCCGATACATTTTACACCTTGACGTCAGAGGTTAGCAACCGAACGGACGACCTGACATCCGTCAGCAGCGACCTAACATCCGGGACCTGGCAGTCAGCAGAGTCGCGTTCAAGGGCGGGAACCATCAGCACGCAGCTGTCTGACGGCAGCCAACGGTCTGGGAGGTCCACTCCCACGGAAGATCTCAATGAAAAGAGATCTCCAGGGCAAGAAGTCCTGTATAATAATTCGTTCAACATGGCACCTCTAGTTGTGGAGCTGAACTCCAAGCTGCAAGGGGCACAAACGACCTTAGACGACGAAAGCGAGACAAGCGATGGCACCATCTACGAAGGCGAAGCAGAAGAGGTATCAAAAAGAGTTTCTCGCGAGATGTCTTTCCTAAACCCTTCTTACGAACACAGCGTACCTACAAGATTCCAGGGAATGCAGGACGGCATGACGATGAGTAGACCTGACAATCCAGCATCTGGAGTGGCGGGAGCAACCTTTCCTAACACTGGCGATAACGGAGGAGGCAATGATGACGCGGATTACTACACGAAGTTAGTTCGTCCTACGCCAGGCAGCACGCATAGCGCATCACCACCCCGCCACACAAGCGACGAGAACCAGTTTCCTACGCGGCCTCCCGTGCCACCACGTCCATTGGCGATGGCAGCAAGCCGCTACGCAAGCGACAGAGACGACTCAGCGGTTGAGACGGCATCGCGGGAGGACACGCCCTCTCCTCCGGTCCCACCACGTGTGTTCTTGAACTCGGAAGCAATGGAAAACACCCTAGACGACCCACCGTATGTAGACGTCCGCCTGCGACACAAGGGGAACGATGCAGTGCCCGCCACCCCCATACCGCACCGTGCATACCGCGCCCACTGAGTATGTGGGACATCGGACAGGATTGGCAAGAGGCAAACAACAGTCCACCGGTAGCCTCCAGCGAACGTCCCACCGCCAGGAACGCGCTGGGGACCAGAGTGCCTTCCGACACGTCGCTATCGTCACAGGCGTCGTCGTCCTTCGGAAGCAGCCAGGAAAGTCTTCCCACGTCTCCGAAGCAGAGCTCGTCAGGGAAGGGGGTGAAGAGCGCTTTGGCAAGGTTTTATAAGAATGGCAAACGTAGCTTAAGGAGAAAGTCTGGCCGTGCGAAGAGTGAGGACCATGGTGCTGTTGTCAGAACTGATGCCGGGGCACCAGGCGAGGGGGTGTTTCGCTACTCTGAAGCTGGGACAGGAAACCGGGACAGCACTTCCTCAGTCTGTAGTGACTACAGAGACGACAACACGGACGAGAACTCCGACCAGGAGTATGACACCAGACTCTAAGTAATCGCCATATTACGAGATTTTAGACTGAACATCAAACACGAAGGAATCGGGCACAAATATTGGATTCCTCGTGAGATTGAACCTCCTTGCTCCATTGGAGAGGCTTCTATTGATTGTAACAAACATATACAAATATTTCTTTGCTAATGTATGGTGTAAAACCAAGGCCTCTACTATGTATAGTTAGCAACCGGGGTCAAATTAAAATACGGTACATGCCTAGATACGTGTATCAGTTAGATTGTGTTCATCAGACGCGACCAATGGAACTTTGCTACCAACCGGCCAATAATGGGCAAAATATCTGACTTAACATTGTATGTGCTTAATTACTTACTTACTTGTGGTGCTATGTTTGCGGGGTATCTATCTCATGTTATTCAAGTACCACGGGTTCTCTAGCCAGGACTGATTTGACCACTAAAGTACTATCACACTTACATAATGATGGTCCATTATTGCACGGTTGGGGAATTAAGGAATAGTTCATTTTTGTTAAGGATCATGTGGGATTATTTTGGAATAAAGATCGTTTGGAACGATTCATTGTAATGACTATTGCTCTATTTTTATCCGCATCTCAGGGGCTTCCAAACACCCAACCCAGGATACCAAGAACAATATAAAGCTCTGTATTATAGGATATCACACCTCAAAATATGCATACATATGTTTTAATGTAGATGATTATTGCGTGCGTACTTACAATCAAACACCTGAGCTTAGATATTTACATGTATATGTCATGTGAACCTAGAAGGTTAAGATAATGTATCGAGTTCCAAGTTGAAGACAGATCTTTTAAAATATACGCTGTACGTACCATTTCGTACTATATCTACAATATAAAACAACCGGTACAAATTGCCCGTGTAATCGAACCCTGTAGAAATACAATGTTTACGCTATGTACATTTCTGTGCGTGTAAGTCATATTGCAGATCATTAAGGCCACCAGAAGTTAGGAATAGGTGACTTCGGTGATCATATTGCTTGTAGCGCTGTAGACATCTCTTCTAATTTACATGTATGTTTATAGCATTTCTATCAAAGTCTGTGGTCAACACGCGTCTGTCCTGTAAGACAACTTTTATCTCTTCGGCCCTTTAGTACCGTAGTCCACGTACAAGTGTTGAGGATGTAACGTTGATGTCAAGGTGTGTTTCTCACGACCAAAGCAGTTCCACAGTCGTCACCACACCACCACCCGGACTTCAAATATGTTGTCCCTTAAAACGTGACATAAGCAGCTGGCCGGGGGTCCTGTACAATACTTCCTATTTACATTCCCTATCAGATTAGCAGGAAAACAACCGAGAGAGCGTGCTAAAGCTAAAAAGGCTGGTATCCAGGCTACACAAGAAGAGGTAGAGAACGTCAGTCCCAGTCCGAGCCGCCCTTCCCCAGCCTGAACACATCCATCAAATCAAATCAAATCTTTATTAAACATCAACATGGCAGACGTGCCGAAGTACTTCGGGCACATCTGAATTACATTGACATTTTACACGCTTAAAAACTACATCATCATTTAAAAATCGACATCATTAAGAATACATAGATTAAAATAGTAACATTTTCAGTTTAAAATACAACATATATAATATATATACAATACACATTTACAGGTCTTTGATGGCTCTGACAATGAATGAGTTTTTATGTCTGTCCGTTCTGCTTAGTGGGAGTTTATACTGATTGCTGTGATAGTTCTTCCTGAGATTGTACGCATTTTCCTCTCTTGGTGGGATAAAGTCATTGCAGGGGTGTGAAGGATCCTTTAGTATTCGTTTTAGTTCACTCAGTGATGCCTCCCTCCTCCTGGACTCGAGAGTGGGCAAGTAACCGTGTGGAACTCCGCAGATCCTGAGGCACAGCTTCTGGATCCTTTCCACCTCGTCTGACAGACAGCGCGGAAGACCGGCCCATACGGGGGACCCATACTCTAACACAGGTCGGATGAAGGACTTGTAGATTTGCAGTAGCACTTCCGTTGGGAGGGCAGCGCGCCTAGCTACGCGCAGGTAGTGTATGCGCGGCTGGACCTTTGCTAGCATGTACTCCACATGCTAGCAAAGGTGTAGAAGGTGGCGCCGTTCCAAGCCTTGATGACGAACGCCACGGCCAGGAAGACGGCGTGCGCGATGAACCATCTGTACCACACCTGGCACAGCAGCATGGACGCCAGGCAGATCAACACGTTCAGGATGTTGTAGTTGAAGTATGAAAATCTGCAGAAGATGTGACGTGGTGGGGAAATGATTCAGTAAGTAACGTTACGTTAGTACGCAAGCAGTTTTTTGGGGGGAAAACTGTACAAAACGACGCATTTCATTAATATTTAGACAAATGTATAGTGTGACATCAATATATATCACAGTTAAAAAAGCGCCGTGTATCTGTTGATGTAATGGTTTCATACGAGACTGACTTACTTTGGGCCAAACATATTGAGAACCTTGTACCAAACGCTGTTCTTCTTGGCCGTGAAGAACCGATAAGTGTTCCAGTACTCCGGGCTGGGTCTGCAGAACACGTGGACGAAGTTAATATGACTTTTAATACGCAACAATGTACAAGGTACAAAGTATGGCAGAAATGAGAGAACAAATCTAACAAATCAGTCTACGTAGTACAATACTAGGTGATATGGGATGAAAAGGCGTTTATACAATCATTAAAAGAATTTCTTACGTTTAGACATTCTTTAAAATACTGTCCTATATTCACAACGTATGGATTGTTAATGATAAACATCGTCCAACAACAGAATAACATTTACTGTGATCTACATTTGTTGTACATGTTATATGACGACTTAAATTACATGTTCATTGCCTACAGACATCTGGACTTCGCTCACAAGTGTAGAATGTGTGGATTGTGTTCTGACCTGAGGATGCCGTTGACGACCACTGCGTACAGCAGCTATAGGAACAGAAGGGAATGATAAATATCGGTTCAATCAATCAAGGGCAAGTACATTAGTGGCTTGAATTGACTCAAAATTTCAAAACAGTTGCTTTCATTACAGGAAATCGGAGATTTCAGATTTCTGAGAAGACTCCTTATGATATTTTCAGAGAAAATTTATTTCTAAACTCACAGCATGGCCGACATAGCAGGCGAGTGGCACGGCGAGCAGCCAGATGAAGGAGGGGTCCTGGAACTCCGTCTCAGACGGGAAAGGTGTGTACCAATTCACAGATATTTGGGGAGAGTACCACCGCACTCTGCAACAACATAACAGCAATTGATAATCAGGTATAATATAATTATGGACTTGGCGGAGCCGTCAATATGGCGACAAAATTTGCTATAGCGATAGGTACAATACATCAGTAAGTTGGCAACAGGGCGCCCAAAACAATGACACATTTCCCTCCTCTACATACGGTGCGATCACATTCTTCGTCATACGTCGTGCGGTTTTGACGTGATAGTAGTTTGATTTTTGATTTTATTTATTTGCACATTGAAACAAAAACATAATGCAATAATACAAGAATGAAGTTAAAATAGGTGCAGGAGGAGGGCAGAAGCATGGAGTGCTTGTACGAGGCCCTCCCCCTCTAAATTTAACAAGAAGAATGTAATCGATGATCAAGCAGTTTCAAGCAGACTGACAGAAACCGACCACCAACAAGAATCTCAGGCAGCCGAAGAAATGTCACCCCCAAGTGTAGTTTGCGACCGAACGCCTATCGCACGAGTCCAACTTGTGTGACCCGGACCTTAGAAAGCATTTCACGTTACGATTTTATGTCGTACGTACCCATAGGTGACGTAAGCAGGCAGCGAGTGGATGAAGACTGACGTCATTCTGTCTATGCTGTGAAAGACGATGGAGTTGCGGAAGAAGAAAACCTGGGAACGAGAATGTGCAAAAATCAGTGGAAAACATCCATTGCGTTTCATAGAAAAACACGTGCAGAAATATCTACATGATCTACTTGGTCTTTTTGTTTTAACATCTAAAAATACATGAAAATATTTATTTTCTCCAATTCCCTTCCTTAATCGATGTCTTCCAGGTTTCGTGAGTCTCTGTTTCCTACGTTCTCACTGATGAACATTAGCCGATATTGACCGGTGGTCTTACCGCTATGACGAGAGGACCGTTGGCGATAGCAAAAACAATCTGGAACACTCTAGGCTCCGCCGGGGCTGCCCTGGAAACAAAACCAAACAATTAGCTATGACTCATGCATTGACCGTAAGTATAGAAATATAGAATATCACTTTCAATTTTCCCTTTTTTTCGATTGTTTACGCTAATATTAGCAGCTAGGAAAAGTTCTTCAATACTGTGCCTTGTGTATATTTATGTTAAAAACTTACCAAATGTAGACATACGTAATGGCCTTTCCGAAATAACAGAAATCCAGCAAGAAGTACTGCCACTTTTTGGTGCTGAGGGCGCAGAAAGTAAAATTGTTACTGAAATTGCGTTTTAACGGAGGTAAGATCTATGTACAGTATACTTAGTACAGAGGGGTAAAATTTGCAACCTCGGTTTCTACTGTTGGTCTAGCAAGATGAGGAGCCTGGTAAAAGGCTACATACCCTAGTCTTAGAACAGTCGGTCCCGTTATAGTTAACGCTAACATTATAACGATAAAAAAACACGTCCAACGAACCCCTTCATCTACCAAAACGTATGGCAATTCAACTTCAATCCACTGCATGGAGAAAAGAAGTCAAATAGCTTAAGCAGGAATATACATGTATACTTAGGATAGTTATTTCGCACCAAGGTCATCAGCCACCTGGAGGCCCAAATTTGACCTTGACCTTTGTCTTCCTGAGACCTGCTCAGTTACCAAATATCATCACATTTCTTGAAGGTCTTAGCGCAATTTTTCATGGAGGTAAAATGAGGTATATACACGTACCAGTACAGATAGAGCCTGAGTCCTATGAGGACCGGGGCGGACACGGCGAAGTAGTACGGGATGAGCTACTGTAAGGCGAGCAGGCCGAACGCCACCACCACCAGACTACACACCGCCGCCACGTAAAACACCTTCTCTCTCAGGCCGTTCTTCGCAAGGGTCTGAAATTTGACGACAGTGATAATAAGAATAGGAGGAGAAGAAAATTATTATTTTTAAATATTCCTACATTCATCACAAGACATGGTGACGGCACACTCAAGACAAAACTAGTCGTGCTCTTGGTGGAATGTTCTTCAA